AGGGCTGCAGAACATTTCATTATTGAGCACACTCTGTGTACAACACATTAAGCTGGGCTCAAGGTGAGTACAACGATGGGCCACAAAGAGCATACCCCACCCACAGCAATGAAATGAAGGCCCTATGTGGTGTCTCAGAGGGAGGGTAGCCCTGGCTTCAGAATGCTAAACTTCTATTCTGAGTGGTGACACTCACAGCTTGCCTCAGTCCTTTTGTATCTCTGGTTCAAACACAGATGCTATGAAATCATTATAACAAAAGGCAGAAAGTAAAAAGTACCTGAAGAGCTACCAAGAGTGTAAGGGCTTCTTCCCCAGGCTTCCCAATCTCAACAATGCATGATGCCACCCAATTGCCTAAGACACAGAGTTGTCCTTGATCCCTCTTTCTCACTCAACCCCAAGTCCAAAGAAATATCAAATTCTACTTCGAAAATGCAGCTGAAGTCCAACCCCTCTTTATATTCCCACTGCCACCACCATAGTCCAAAACACCATTATTTCTCATCTGGACTGTTGCAATTCCAGAGTAATCTTTTTAAAACATAAGTCTGAGCATGTCACTCCCTCACATAATACATTTCAGTGACTGTCCATTGTTCTTAGGGTAACAAAATAAAACAAAACAAAACTTACATCCTAACATTTCCCACAAGGCCCTGCCTTACCCCATACCTGCCCAACTCTCCTGCATATTTCAAGCAGCTCCCATTCTACATCAGGTCTCAGGTAGTTAGTGAAGTTTCTGGGGAGCCCACCAGATTCAGGCCTGTACACAAGCTGTTCCCTTTGCAGGCATATCATTTTTGCTGATCAATCCTGATTTATCTTTTAAGTCAGGCTAGACATTGCTGCCTCCCAAAGGCTTCCTGGGCTAGGATAGAGTCTCCTCTAACTCTACGTAGCACCACTTACAACAATTATAATTTAAATATTTGTTTTTGTACTTACTTTTTAATGCTTACTCCCTTTGCAGCTATAGGTTTCATCTCAGGATAAGGAATTGTTACATCTGTTTTGTTTCACTAGCATCTAGTACAGTGTCTGACGGGATGGATGATGGATGGATGCATGCATGAATGAATGAATGAATGAAGTGAATGGAGTATCCAGATAGGAGATCAGGAAAGGCCTAGAAGAACCAGCAAGAGAAAGAGATGGTCAAAACCATCTCTTGGAATGCTTGGAAACTTCAAGAGTCATGGGCCTGGAATAAATGAGCTGAGATGTATCTTCTCTTGCAGTTGTGATCATTCAGGCTTTCTTTCCTTTCCTTTCTAAAAGTCATTGACTCAGTCCAGCTCCATCTAAACTCCCCTTCAGCCTGGTTTTCTGACTGGGGAGAATGGCTTTCATCCAGGTGCCCCACCCTCTCTCTGTTCCATCTTCTAACCAAGCCCACTGTCCCTCCAGTCTGCTTTCCCACCACACCCTTGGATTTATGTAACTGAGTAACTGTTTCTATAAAACAAATTCGTAGTTCTGCTTAGGCAGTGAAATGACTGGAGCTTTGCAGTTGGTCTAAACAGGCAGAGGAGAGAACCCCCACCCCATGCCCAGCACCCTCTCAGATTCAAGGCACAAATAGTCAGCCCTATATGCAAGGGCTCAGTAATACGGGACTACAGCAGAACCCAAGCCAAATACCAGCCACAAGAAGAAATTGAAAAAAAATCTTTCCACTGTGCAAAGGCAAGCTTCCTATTGCATTATGCCCATCTCCTAATAGAGTTCACTGGTTCAGTTTCCCTTTCAACCTTCTATAGGACTCTGTCAGTACCTGTTATCTTGGTCATGGATTGGAAGATGATGTGGCATTTCTCTTTCTGACAACTCAAGCAAGGTACACTAAGACCAAAAAGCAAAGGGGACGTACATTCTAAAGTTTGGCTGACCACTTCCCAGTTTTGGAGGTCTCAAGCAACATGAAACTGAAAGACCAGAAGAGAATATAGAGAAAAAATGTTCCTGAATGAGTATGTGTGTATATGTGTAAGGAGGGTGGGCAGGGGAGTAGGGGAGCATGTGTAGATCACATAAGAATTTAATATTTGATACAATGGGGAAGAATAAACAATATCAAGTAACAAATAATAGGTCCCATTTGTTAGGCCTTTTCTATATACTATGAAGTGTTTTTTACTCAATATTTCATTTAATTTTCAAAGCAACCCAATGAGGTAAGCATTTATGTGCCCATTTTATAAGTGGGGAAATAGGTTCACTAAGTCACACAGCTCAAGAGTGGTCAAGCTCCAGGATTTAGATTCTGGTATCCGTGCTTTGAACCTCTACTTGCAACTGCTTTCTAGGGCTAGAGATCAGAAAGGAAAGGATATTTGTTTGTGGTGTGGCAGAGGGCTTGAGATTAGACATACAGAAAGTTCTAATGACAATGAGTGCCACTTTGTTGGAGTCAGGGTAATTAGGCTTGTTACAGCTCCTCCTCTGAGGGTCTTTGCATTTAAGATGAATGGATGCTTCTATGCCTGGCTGGTTTAAGGGAAGCACTCTGTGTTCGCAGCACAAGGCTGGCCTGTTTAAACTAACTGATTGTACACTGGGGTACAAGACTGCCATACATGAAACCATTAGATAGCAGAAGATACCACAGGATGTGTGCCCACATGGGCTGGAAAAAAGCAAGGACTATAGGCAGGCAGATGCTACTGTGGTTAAAGGCAAGAGCTTTGTGGTCAGGTGGACTTGTGTTTGAGTCCCTGCTGGCTCTCCTGATTGTATGACCTTGGGTATGTTACTCAATCTGTCTAATCCTCTCTTTCCTAGTCAGTAAAAAGAGACTAAGAATAGAATCTACTTTGGAGGTTTGCTATGAAAATTTTTTAAAAGATGATACATGTAAAGTGCTTGGCACAGAAATTAAACATAATAAGGATACAATGAATAGTAGTTGCTATAATTGTTACTATTGGAGTCCAGAGACAGGAAAGAGCACCCTGGAGCAGAGATGTATATTAGTAGCTAAGAAAGTCTTCCTGGGAAACTCGTTTTGTTCTGAATCTTGAAGAGCTGCTCAGGTAAAATCAAAAGGAAAGAACGGGGACAGAGGTAGAGTTCACATAGTGGGGTGAGACTGTAAGTTTTCTACCCTAAAAAAAGAGAAAACAATTAATTTGATCTGTGGTTTGAACTAAATAAGAAAGTTGATTATGCAGGAAGAGACAGTGAAAAGAGATGAAGTCTTCTATCCTTGTTTCTGAACCCAGAATTTAGAGTGACAGAGAGAGCCTCAGAGACCTAAAAAAGAACCCAGACACACAGGGTTCTTTGCTTCCTTCTTCTGGGATCTCATTGGGGTGAAGGAGAAGGAATATGGAAATATGGCTGGGGGAAAAGCTATGAAGGATGGGGGGTAGAACCTGAAACAGGGAAATCAGGAAATGTGGGTGAGGCCCTAATGACTGTGTGGGATAACTCAGATGGGTAAACTTAGCTTTAAGGCTGGATTGACAGGGGTATCCTGTCAGACAGGAGGCCAGTTTTTAGATTCTGTCTCTTGTCAGTCTTGATAGCTCAGACTTGGAGGCTCTCTGAGAGAATGACATTTTTTGTGCAAATTCATTATTGTCTAACAGTCTGCCTTATCTTCCTGATGAAAAAACATCAACTCCTTAGTGGCTAGGATGGTTCTCCAGGAAAAATGCTGGTTTTTTTTTATATTCTCTATCCTTAACCCTCTATCAAATACCAACCACCAACCCCTTATATCAAGCATCACCTGGGTCTTTGTTTTAAAATACAAATTTTGGGGTTATTTTTTTCCCTCCCGAGGGAGTCTAATTGGCTAGATTTAGGGACCAGGTTTTTTTAATAAGCACTCAGCTGATTGTTTTGGCAAGGCAAATTCAGAAAACACTGAGTTAGATAATCCCTTGAATCCCTTTCAGTCCTAAACTTAGGCAGCAGAGTGTAGTAGGAAAAGTCCTGAGTTGATAGCAAGAGGTGGGTTTTGGCCTGACTCTGACCCTGAAGTTCAAGGAAGTCTGACTCTGTTATTGGTGCTCTCACAATACCTCCATGCCTGGGTACCTGTTGTCATCTTTGGTACTGGTGAGAATCTGTGCTGAGGAAAATCTAGAAGGGAAGGAGGCTGTAGAGCAGAGGAGAGTTTTCACTTATCTGCAATCAAGATCTCAGAAAAACAACAGGGGAACTTAGAATAAACAGAAGTAATAAGTGGACATCAGGTACACTAGGTTCCAAGAATCCCATTGGAGCTTTCTCTTACATGGGATTAGCAAGACACCATAGATCTCAACAACTCCCACTATACACAGGTGTTGCTTAGGCCCAATGAATTTCTTAAACGTGCCCAAATGACACAGCTAATCAGAGAAAGCAGGAATTTTGATCCCCCACCCCGCCTTCACCAAGTTTATTCTGAGGGGCATGGCAGATCAGTTCTACTTTCTTGGGGCTTGTGGAGAACCCCTGACGATCAAGGGCCAGGGGCCTATCATTTCCCTGCATCTGCTCAGACTATTAACAGAGAACAGGGAGAGAATGGGGGTCTGGAGAGGTGGACAAGACCGAGAAAAAGCCCCGAATGGCGGGAAAGAGGGAGGCTGTAATGAAAAGGAAAGGCACACAGAGGCTCACAAAATGTGAGTGCTTTGAAGACTGCATCCAAAGAGGTACCCTGACTTACCAAGATCTCACATCCCAGGGGTGTCAAAACAGGCAACAAAATCAGCTCCCCTCTCCAAGAGAGGGCAATCAAAAGATTGAGTGCGAGATGAGGTCTGATTTTGCAGAAGCATTTTAAAAATCCGCTTTGTCAGAGAGACTAAAAGACCAAACAAAACCCCTAAACCAGCAAGCCCCATTATTTCATCCACGTGGCAAAGGAACAACTCAAAAAAAAAAAAAAAAGAAAAAGAAAGAAAGAAAGAAAAGGGAAAGGGGCGGGGTCAGAGTCCGGTCCCGCCCCTGCCAGGAGGAAGGGATTTACCCGAAAACCACCCCCGGACTCTGTCGCTGAGGGGACGCGGCAGGAAGGGGCAGAAATTGAGAAAGCCCCTTTCCCACAAAGCCGCTGTGCAGAGGTCCCCTCTCCTCCGGCCGCGGCTGGAGTGCGGGGAGCTACCGCAGGCCCTGTAAGGGTCGAAAGGTGCGCGGTCTCTTTAAGGCAGGTTTCTCTTTTCTGAAGGAAGTGACGGGGAGGGGCAGGGGGGGGGTGGGAATGGAATGAAAAGTGCAAAACAGCCCCTGAGCACCGGAGTCCGGAGCCGCGGGAGACGCGGGAGGGCAGAGGCTACCTTGGAGCTGCGGAGTATACACTGCGGGGTACAGTCTGTGTGTGAGTCCGTGCCACGCCTCCGGCGGCCCGCAGCTAAGCCCCCGAGGAGCGCTCTCAGGAGCCCCAAACTAGCCACCAACTTTGAGCGAAGTTTGTAGCGCCTCTCTCCGCCCTCAAGATCCGTGCTGAGGCCGCAGAGGGCGGCGGTGGCCCACGGGGATGCGCCCTTCAGGTTCTTGCGGACTCCCTACCGCGTCCCACGCGCTGCTAATGCTGCTACCGCTTCTGGTGCCACTATTGGGGGCGCCACGCGGCGTGAGCGCGGGGGCGGGCGCGCCCACTGAGCTTAGGGTCCGCGTGCGGCTGCCCAATGGCCAGGTGACAGAGGAGAGCCTGCAGGCGGACAGCGACAACGACAGCATCAGCCTCGAGCTGCACAAGCCCGACGGCACCCTTGTCTCCTTCATTGCCGACTTCAAAAAGGTGAGGCGCCCTCACTCTCCAGGGTGGGACCTTCAAGTCTGAGTGCCCGAGTCCCTCCCTATCACACTCAGGCCTAAGATAGAGACCAGAGGGACGCGATTTACCCAGCTTCACCCAGGGCTCTTCTCAACATCTCTTCACCCCGGGCCCCAGTGTCCAGACCTGGCCCCATCCTTCTCCCCAGGAACTACTCTGCTGCTCCCACCGAGCTCCCCCTCCAGCCTTTCACCTCCTTCCTCCAGGTGTCCAAGTCCTGTCTCCCTCCCTCACCAGCCTTTCTCCCACTTCCTCTTCCAGCTCTCCCCAGAACCTCCAGGTTCAGACCCTCTTTCAAAAGTCAATATTAATGACCTAGACTTCCTCTTGGAGTAATTTCTGTATCCTCTAGCGGGAGCGGGGGCGGGGCAGGGCGGGGCCGGATGGGATGTGGGTGTGTTGGGAATCCAGGGTCAGGATCTTGCTTTGTAACGAACTATAGAAATAATCCCTGAAAGTATAGTCTTTAGGTTCTTGCTTTGTGAACTAGATCAAGTCCTTTCCCTTCTCTGGGCCTCTTTTTTCGCCTGTGTACAGGACAATGAAGTGGCTCCAGGCCTTGTAGCCCTGACATCTTGGAGTCTGTGAACCACCTCTCCTGTTTCACTTTCCTAGGCTAGAGAGAGGGCGATGCTGGGCAGAACTAATTGTCCCAAGTCAAGGAGAAGCTACCTCTCCTTTTTGCTCTGGAAAGCTGGGAAGCTTGCAGCAGAATGACCTGGGTAGAAGCCCCAGATGAAGTCCACATGCTCTGAGAGAGATGCCACCCCTTACCATGCCTGGAAGGAGGGCTGGCTAACCCTCATGCTTTGGCCATGATTGTGGGAGAGTAGCAGAGACCAGCCTCTACTCAGTGTGTATGTTGTGGAGGGAACCAGAAGGTGGACCTGGCTCCCAAGGTTAGGGGGCATGGAGAGTGGAGATGCTGGAGTTTCTCAGCAAATAGGCCTGAAAAGGTGGTGAATGACTAACAATGACCCAGCAGCAGGAGTCCGAAGGAAAAGCCTGTGAGTGAGGTGTCTCTTCATCTCCTAGACGCCCCCGGCCCAATAAAAAGAGGCCCCATTGTATTTCTGGGGGAATGGGCAGGAGAGGCCAATTAGATAACTGGGCATGTGGGTTATGCCAGGGCTGTGGGACCACTGACTGAGCCACCTCTTTCTCCTCACTCTTAGAGTCTGGGAACTTGAGAGGAAAGGGGGCAGAGTTTGGGAGGCAACTTAGGAACCTAGTAAAATTGCCATAGATAACATGGGAGTATAGATCCAGTGGACCATAGAGTTTTGACTGCTCATCTGTGCCAGGACTACTCAGTTGTTATTGACATGGAACATAGGTGGACTATGAGAGAGAGATGGGGAGAGGGTGAGTGGCCATAGCTGGGAAGACTTGGTGGCCGTTTCTTACTCAGCAGACTCCAGATAGGTTCTCAGATTCAGGTATGTTTGCGTGTGGTGAGAGGGAAGCTGGTGGGGCCAGAACACCTCTGTCTTCCCCACCTGAACTCCAGGGAAATTTTGTCAAGTGTGTTCTTTTCCCAGAAAATTGAATAGTGGCTGGATCCCTCAGGAAGCCGATCTAATCTTCCCCTCCTACCTTTGCCCTTGAGCGTGAGCTCAGGCGAGGCTAAGCTTCCTACCTTCCTGTACCACTGTCCATTGTGCTCTGAGTTGAAACACTGAAGAGAGACTCTCCTCCATCCCTGGGACTTCTCCAGCAGCCAAGGCTGTGGGTGGGACGCCAGTGAAAGAGTTAACAGGTAGGGTTAAGCTTTTATAGCATCTAGCTACAGCAAGAAATATGTTATTGCCCTTCCCTGCAGGCAAGGGAAGCAGAGAGCTCATGTGGCAGTGCAGTGGAGGACTAAGGATTAGGGCTGAGAGTATAGTGGGAGGGTGACTGCCCAGTTAGAGACTGTTGTTGATTGCAAAAGTCCCATTGTAATTCCCACAGTGGTTCAAACCTGCACCCAGACTTCTGAAGTCCTTTTCAGGTTAGCTTCTGACCCAGAAGCTGGTGTTTCACACCTGTCCCTGGCATCTCCAATTTCATCCACAAGGACAGAAATTGGGAATGGAAGGCTCAGAAAGGGAACCAGCTCTCCAACATCCCCTCCAGCTCCTGGTTTCTCAGTCAATATGGGGCATAGAGGAGTTGGGGAATGCAAGGTGGCATCTGTAATATGTGGCAACCTTCACTCCCAGCCCAGTCCAAATCCTTCTGGGTAGATCTCTCTTGTTGCTTGCTCAGTTCTCAGGCCTATATAGAAGTGGTGGTTTTTCTTGTAGGAAAAAAGGCCTGGACATGGTGGTTCTTTTGTTTCATGTACCAAATCCATTTTTGGTGGTTTGGGAAAAATGCCTTAGTCTGCTTGGGAAAAGTTATGTTTGCCATTTTATCACCTTTGGCAGGCACCCAGGCTGAAATGAGAAAGACCCAATTTAATACTGGGCAAATTACAGGATTTCTGCAAGCCTTCATTTGTCCATCTGCAAAATGGGAGTAATATGGTATAAATCCCATGGCTATTGTGAGAACTAAATAGGAATGCATGCAAAATATTCACTATGTATTAGGTATTAATGCTAAGTTATCAAGAAATAGAAGCCACTAACTTTCATAAACGTGGCTCACATAGCATCACCTCATGGAACCTCCCTGCTAGGCTTGGGCTCAAAGAGATTTAATGCTGTATCCAAAGTCACATGGCAAGCCCACGCTGAACCTGGAGGAGATTTGAGTCCCTCACAGTAACCTTTTTTTAGACCCATGTGTTAGAGTTCTCTGGAGAAACAAAAACAGTAGAAACACATATAGAAACAAACATACACACACACACATATACATAAATATGCAGAAAGATTTTTTTTTCAAAAGCAGGAGATATTTATTTTTTAAAATTTTCACCCTGACTGGTGTGGTTCAGTGGATTGAGTGCATGCCTATGCCTGCGGAGCAAAAAGTTACTGGTTTGGTTCCCTGTCAGGGCTCATGCCTGGGTTGCGGGCCAGGTCCCCATCTGGGGGTGTGCAAGAGGCAACTGATTGAAGTTTCTCTCTGATATTGATGTTTCTCTCACTTTCCCTCTCCTTTCCCCTCTCTCTAAAAATAAATAACATCTTTCAAAAAATTTGCATTGACTTTATTGGGGTAACAATGGTTAATAAAATGATACAGGTTTCAGGTGTACAATTCTATAATACATCATCTGTATATTGTATTATGTGTTTATTACCCAAATCAAGTCTTCTGTCATCATTTACACCCCTCTATACCCTCCTCTGCCTCTTTCCACTTCCCTTTCCCTCTGGTAATCACCATACTGTTGTCTGTGTCTATGAGGGTTTTTATTTTATTTTTTATGCTTAATCCTTTCACATTTATCACCTGTAACTCTCCTCCGCTCTGATAGCTGTTAGTCTGTGTTCAATCTATGAGTATATTTCTATTTTGTTAGTTTATTGTTCATTAGATTTCACATATGAGTGGAATATTATGGTACTTGTCTTTCTCTGACTGGCTTATTTCACTTGGCATAATGTTCTCCAGGTCCATCCATGATGCCACAAAGGGTAAAATTTCCTTCCTTTTTATGGCTGAGTAGTATTCCATTGTGTAAATGTACCACAGCTTTTGTATTAACTCATCTTCTGATGGACACTTGGGCTGCTTCTAAATCTCGGCTATTGTAAATAATGCTACAATGAACATAGGGGTGCAGATATTCTCTTCAATAAGTGTTTTGGGTTTCTTTGGATATATTTCCAGAAGTGGAATCACTGGGTCATAAGGCAATTCCATTTTTAATTTTTTGGTATAACTCCATACTGCTTTCCACAGTAGCTACACCAGTCTGCATTCCCACCAACAGTACACTAGGGTTCCCTTTTCCCCACATCCTCACCTACACTTGTTGTTTGATTTATTTATGATAGCCTCTAGCAGACGTGAAGTGATATCTCACTCTGGTTTTAATTTGCATTTCTCTGATGATTAGTGACATTGAGCATCTTTTCATTTGTCTATTGGCCATCTATATGTTCTATTTGGAGATGTGTCTATTCAGGTCCATTGCCCATTTTTAAATTGGATTGTTTGGTATTTTTTGATGTTGTTATATAATTTATTTATAAATTGTGTATATTAACCCCCTGCTAGATGTGTCCTTGGCGCATATGTTCTCCCATTCAGTGGGTTGTCTTTTCATTTTGTTAATGGTTTCCTTTGCTGTGCCAAAACTTTTTAGTTTCATGTAGTCTCATTTATTTATATTTTGTTTTCCTTGCCTGAAAAGATATATCAGAAAAAATATTGCTACAAGAAATGTTTGAGATTTTACTGCCTATCTTTTCTTTTGGAATTTTTATGGTTTCACATCTTACATTTAAGTCTGTAACTCATTTTGAGTTTATTCTTGTATATGGTGGAAGGTGGTCTAATTTCAATTTTTTTGCACTTATCTAATTTTCCCAACACCATTTATTAATAGACTGTCTTTAGCCCATTGCGTTTTTGCCTATTTCATCAAATATTAATTGGCCGTAAAGGCATGGGTTTATTTCTGGGTTATTTATTCTGTTACAGAGATTTATATGTCTGTTTTTATGCCAGTACCATGCTGTTTTGATTCCTCCAAGTTTGTTCTTCTTTATCAAGGTTTCTGTGACTATTCAGTGTCTTTTGTGGTTCCATGTAAATTTTTGAAGTATTTGTTCTAGTTCTGTGAAATACACCATTGGTATACTTTTGAAAAATCATCCAGGGGTATGTTTTTATTGATTTTAGAAAGAGGCATGGAGATAGAGAAACATCGATCAGTTGCCTCCCGTATACACCCCAACCAAGGACCAAATGCAACCGTGGTATGTGCCCTGACTGGGAATCAAACCCACAACCTTTTGTTGTACAGGGATGATGTTCCAACCAACTGAACCACCTAGCCAAGGCTACACCATTGGTATCTT